TTATTGAAAAATATAAAAACAATAAAAAATTATACTTCAGATGTTAATTTAGTATCAAAAACGTAAAATATTTGAGTAGCCCGAGAAATAGCCGAAGATTGCAGCGCCACAGCACTAGCGAAAATTTAAATTTGCCGACTGGAATTCTTTCTGATAACCGACGTTTCGGATAAACGACGCTCTACTGTAATTTCATTTTTAAAGACGAAATTAATATTTTAATTTTAATTTTTTATTACATTTATTTTTATTTAATATTAAATTAATTTGTTCCGCCGGTGTTCCTAGTTGTCTGACTAAGAATACTGTAATCGTTAAGAATTTCGGTAATGCTCGAAATAGCTTCGTCCGGTATACCGTTGGAAATCCCAACTCAACGTTCTGCGTTATCCAACGTGGCCCCGGTAAACCCGAGTTACTCGGTTATGTCCGGGTGCCAATTGTACGATAATTATCCTATTTGTACGATTATTTCGGGCACGGTACGATGTACTGTACGATAATGCTCGTATGTAATAGGAATTGGTAGGATAATTTCAGAAATACGCCTTACTCCCGAAATAACAGTTTATTATTGAAAAAATCCACTTTGCCATCACCATTTTATACGTTATCGCCTTCTCGTTGATATTTCGTGTCTTTTTTTTCCAATGGAGAGCTGCTAATTTTTCGGAAAATACTTAAATCGGCTACTATGAAATATTCTCGATTATAAGGCGCACCTTTTCTCGACACTGCCGTTGCGATGCGGTACTTTTAAATAAGAAAAGAATGATAAAATGCTCGAATTGATGTGCAAAGAAAATTTGTACAAATAAACGTTCTGTCGAAATGCCATTATGCTTCTATTGAATATTTGTACAAAATAGATACTACAATAATACATTTTATTACACAGTAGTTTCTATCTAGTGAACACTCTAGAACTCGGGTTTTTTGACGTGGAACAGCATTTCCTAAACTCGAGGTCGTCACCACTTGAGGGGTGGACTAAATATTTCAGACGATGGCAAAAATTGGAAAAACCAAGGTTTATGCAAATGAAATAAGTAGTGCATATAAAGAAGAACATGTATTACAGTATTTGTTAATGCTTGATATGTTGAAATTGTATGAAAAAATTCTGATTTATATTTTTCCCATTTTGAGGTTTATCTTTTGCACCATATATTATGAGGAAGAGTTATATATTCTAAGAAAGAGTTATATAAAAGCATTTATAAAGTTTAAGAGATTCTAGAGATTATAAAGAAGAGATTAATAAAAGAACCTAGTTAATATTTCTACGAATAAAGGGCGTATTGAGATGGATGTACGATAATTTCAAGGAGCGGATACGACAATTTTATCCCGTAAGGTTGGCAACTCTAATAACGTCACACTACAACCAGAGTCTTTAATATACTGGTCTTTGCGCTGCTAATTCGCGTTTTTTTCATAAACTATAGAGGGCGCTGCATTTTTACAAAATGGCTACTTTATTTGGGTCGCTTGTACTAGTTAGTAATGTAAAATTAATCATATAGCCTATTACTGTCCGATATAATGATATATGCTGCTTGTAGCTGTTTATCGAGAAATTTTATAGAAGGAGAACAATTATTACTAGCGGGACACGTCATTATGTGGTATCGAAACAAATGAGCGAGATCGTTCTATCGTTATTTGCGCCCTTAGTGTTAAAAACATCCTATCAGGGCCGGATTTACAAGTAAAAAGCTATGTAAGATGTTGCTTAGGGACTCGAACATTTGTACAAAAAGAAAATTGAAGTTATACATCAAGCAAAGCCGAATATTATCGGGTTATAGTACTAATAATTTAATAGACAATTTGGCATTAGAATTAGGCGTTAGGCGCCATCAATTAATAGAGAGGTTGCGGCCGACGTTTTCAACACGAAAACGTGTACATCGGACGTTCTGCGCCACCTTCCTGTAGGCCTAGAAGTTTGACAATAGCGTTTGGAACGTCGAGCACGATTCCACTGACGTTCCAAACGCCATTGTCAAACTTCTGGGCTTACAGGAAGGAGGCGCTGAACGTCCGACGTACACGTTTACGCGATGAAAACGTCGGCCGCAACCTCTCTAATATTCGGCTTTGGTTGATGTATAGCTTTAAACGTATCAGGTGTAGTAAGAATGTTTGATTAATTAAGAAAATTGAAGTCAAATTTTGTAATAAACATTTTTTTTACAAACCAACAAAATATACGTACTTTACTTTTTATTTTGTGTAGTATTTCATTAATTTTTTTTCTAAGAATTAATTTTTAAAAACGATTAATAAAACCAATTTTAAAAAGATTTTTAATGGAATGGGTGTAAAAATTAATTAGATTCAGTTATAAAACAGAAGACTGGTGAAACCTCACATCTTTTTATTCCAATATACGTATTTCCAATATACATCTTTTCTTTATACGATTGAGTTCTAAAATTGTGAAGGGTTAAACTGACCTTACGATATCATCACGACACGACGCGACTGAGTGTTCGTTGCAAGTTCGACAGTGTAATGTACTGTACGATACAATACGTTAAATAGCTTATCCATGCTTCACGCTTCCTTGAAGTGCTCGCTTGCACGACGACTCTACTTGAATTCTGCGTGTCATGGAGTGGAGTGAAAGAAGAGAAGCGGCGTGCCTTGTATTTTCTAAAATATAAATACATATTGTGCAATTGTTTTCATATTTCAAAGTACTGTACTTTGAATTAATTAAAATTAATATTTTATTATAACCGCATTATGTATCTTATTACAAATTTCTATACTACATGAAAAAAAACGATAAAATTGCTATTGTACTCGTATATTCGAATACTGTATCAGTGGCGAAATGGAAGCGCTCCATTGTCGAATACGGGACAGCTTCCAAGGAGCCAGATTATACGCATTCGCTTTACAGAGCACCAATCTCACGTGGTTTAGCTGGTGAATACTACACACCAAAATATCGTATAATACTACGTTCGCACACAATCCACGACTCACTTCGATCTCGATTTATCTATAATCTGGATTGT